ACATCTAGAGAAGAATGTAGTGAAGTGGCCCATTTTGGTCCCTTGTTGCATCGAGTCACTGACAGGAGGTCTTGATGAAAACTGCCTACTCTTATACCGCCACTGATGTTTTGCTCCACGTGCAGAACACTTGATACATCAGCCAACAATCAGAGCAATTAAGGAGGCAAGGCCAGCCAAGTGCCTCCGTGTCATTTCAGCCTTGTTATCTGTATCCAGATGACGCAATCCAGCCAAGGCCCACCTTACCAGCAATACTCAGCAAGAATGGTAACTCTCCATGGGAGAAACCTCAGTAAACCAGATGAATCACTTGGAAGTTTCACCTCTGCACAATTCTTTCAACGACCATTTCCCTACAACACTCATCAGGAAGCCCCTTTCATTTACAGGCTGCCAAATCAAACTCAAGTCCACAGGTTCCCTGGCCATGCTTCTCCTCCCCTACCTCCACGAAAGCACATCCAACAATAGCAGCAGGATTGAATCATAGCAGCTAAACATTTCAGCAGCCCCAAATTATAACATTATAAATTAGAATTTAGAAACATCATATGCATGTTTACAGAGATAAATCGGGTATCTAGAGGAGTGCCTCTTCCCATATGTGCCTACCTGGCCCCTTAGATCATCACTGAAGATCCTTCTCAGGGAGCCCCCTCCTCAAGAAACAAGGAGGGTGGTGACAAGGGAAAGGGCCTGCTCAGTAGTGCCATTCCGACTCTGGAATCAGCTCCCCAGAGAGGTTTGCCTGGTGCATTCTCTTTATTCTTTCTGATGCCAGGCAAATACCTTTTATTTTAATTGTTTAGAAAATAATTAAAATTACCCAATCATTAAATTATATTTAATATTATATTAAATTATATAATAATAATACTTTAATTGTTTAAAGTGTAATTGTTAAGATAATTTTAACTGATATTTTAATTAAGTTAACTTTAGGGTTTTATAATATTTTATGGTATTTTACATCTTAGTGTTATTGTGCCTTTTATTCTGTATTTATCAGTAAAGGCGTGAAGTTATTATGAGGTGTTTTGTTGTTTGCTTGTTCAGTTTTTATTGTTGTTTTATTTATTCATCTAATATTATTCATTTTGTTACATATATTGTTACATTTTGCAATCTTGTAACTCAACTAAAGGATGGGATATAAATCTAGTATTTGGCAAAATTCTTACAGAAACACAGTTAAATATCTGAGATGAAAACCAGCATCTCATCTCCTTCTCCCTAAATGGTGGATGTACTGCTGTGTTGCACTGACTGAGACTGGGTGGATTTCTGAATCATACATGCATCTAATTGCACAAGAAGAGCTCATGCTCGTATATATTGCTCAAGTACACTTACACCCCCTCCAACACTCTATTAACATAGGCCAGGACCCACAAGATCAGGAAACTCTTCTTCGGTAAACCCTGTGCAAACAACAGTTTGCCTGGGATTAACGCTTCAGGGAATATAAGCTTACAAATCACTGTTCTTTCTCTCTTCACCTGCAAACCAGGAGACCAGTGAGGAGAGACCGGTTCCTCCACCCTCACTGAGGAAGCATGTGTCTGTCAGAGGACCTACTGAAAGCTCTGTAGCAATGCAAGAGGATCACATCTACCCAGGACTGCCTTACCTCCATAAGATGCCATGCAATAATATCCAACTGGCAAGTCTAGTCCAACATGTCTAGACAAGACGTACATGATATTTTAAAAGCCACACAGTTCTGAGGATAAAGGGCTGTGCATTCTGGGGCCTAAACAAGTTGGATAATAAGAGCATATGCTCTAGGTTCTTTGATACTGAATGAAATTTGTATCTTGCTTTAAATCAGCATGGTCAAGGACACATCCAAGTTGTGGAACAAACAGAGAACCAAGCGCCAATCTTCCTTCAGCTGCTGGCAGCTGATCAAAGAGAAAGAACAATCAAAAAGAAAAGGGGAAGGTGCTTGAAAGAGAAGACAACATGAATTAACAACATAAAGTCAAACATTTTACATGGTCAATGCAGGCAGGTCCACATCACCACACTATATATCCACTTTCCCAAAAGCGTGAATAGGCCTCAAGGCTCTACTTCTAGAATGAAGGAAAGCCATTCTAATGTAGAAGGCCTCCTCTTACACAAAGAGACATGTAGCAGTCAGTAGCTTGACTGTACGCAATCAGGGGAAATAACTGATTATGCAAATGCAAGGATAGTCAGGCTACCTACAACACTCTAAGAAGATACTTCCCCTTCTTCTCTTCCCCAACACCCTGCTCCACTGAGACTCCCAAACCTCAAGAACATGTCTGGGAAGCACATTAGGGGCTGCAGGATGAAGGCAAATCCTTCCCACTGGCAGACAGGCACCCTTCAATATAACTCACAACCTGAACAATTATTTCCATATTGCTGCTCACAAATGCTACCAAAGGCTATAGAAGGGCATCTGTGATAAATCCTACTCGCGATCGAAATTCCCAGCTTCTACCAAAATTACTCACTCCTGTAACTGAAGTATTTCCTCCACTTATTAAAAACACTGACAGAAAAGCAAGGTAGAACATGTTGCACAAGTGGTTCCGAATGCTGTCAGTCACATCCTGGGAGACCCTTATCATGTAGCCAGGGTTGTTCTTAACCGACCCAAATCTGAGCAGCCCAATATGTAGACTGGCTTCTGTTAATACACCTAATTATGTTGCAAGCAAAGTGAGCAATCCTCCCATCAGAAACAGTATGTCCCTGCTCAAGTTCCTACAAACAGTGCTCAGTGTTTTATGTGCCCCTGAAAATCCTGAGTTCTCCAGACATCCACATCACAGAATTAAGAGCACTAAAATTAAATTATTCTCCTAAGAGGAAAAGGCTGGAAAATCATTAAGAAGCAAAATTAAAACAGAAAGAAAAAGCAGTCAAGAGGTAGAAGGGGAAGGGAAAAGATTAAGAGCATAAAGATGAAGTGCTTACTCAGGTCACTATGGGTTCAGCTCATCTGGCTTCTGTTTCAGACACAAGCTAAGAATGCCCTAATTTTAACCTCCATATCAACTTTTCTTGCCATACACATAAGTGTGCATAGCTGCCCTAGAGAGGGTTGGCTCAGCAGTTTTTGTTCACCACCAAAATTCAGTCTGAGTACAGCAACACAGGAAATTAAAGGCCAAGAATGGGGGGTAGGGGGGAATAAATAAGCCAGAAATAGGTTCTCTGGGATCAGCCATCTGCCATCGATTTGTTAGGGAATTTTGTAGATCTGAGTCCAAATAAAATTGTCAAGAGGCCCATCAGCCTATGCAGAGGTCATGGGCAGACTTTCCAGCGAGCCAACAGCAGATGGGCAACTGAACTTTCTGTAGAAAGCAAATAACAAGATTGTGCCAAGGGAGAACATAGAGACTGAGAAGAAAAATGGGGGCTGAGAAATTTCCCATTTTTGACAGCATGCCGTCAGAAACTGTTATTACCTGTCACAGGGTGATTGTGGGTGAACAGAGTTAAACATGTTCAATACATTCCATGAATTTTAACACTACCAATTTGCAGCATACACACAAAGACAGAGATAGATGGTACATTAAACTATTGTACAAGGAGGCCAGACTTGCTTCCACAGAGACCCACTTTGCCCCTAACCACTTTGTTTCATCATGTTGGGATGTGAGCCAGCCAACCACCACCAATTTACAGATTCATTTAGATCTTGCCTTTTATGGCCATTTCCATTTTAAGATATACTAGCAAGAAGCATCACAATATTGACTGCTGATCTTAAGATGATACTGTATTCTCATTTCAAACTACAGAAAAAGCAGCACAGTCCAAATGAATGCAAGTCTCGTCAGAGTTATGATGCAATAAAAGAAAAGCCACCTTTTGACAGCTGACCTAAGCTGTCACAGGCAAGATAACCTTGTTCTCTAAGCACCCTGCAGATAGTTGCATTGCTTTAAGTGCTCATATTATTTAGGAAATGCAGGGGGAAATCAGGAAAGGAAGATGAGGAAAAGGAGGCACACGCTTCCCCAGCTACATTTCTTTCTGCTAAAGCACCAGAGTTTGACTGCTTCAATCACACGCTATAAAAAGGACCCAGAATACCCAGGAGGCACCCTTCCCCTAAATACCAGTCTTAAAGCTGTGGAGGACAATTTTATATATAAACTACTCCTGCCAGAGGGATTGAGCTTCTTCCCATGTAGAGGTCATGTGAACAGAAGAGAGTGTCTGCCACTATCACCATCTTAAAGTTCTCAGCATAAAACACTACTATGACATCCAAAGATGAATCAAATCTCATGACTGGGTGGAAAAAAGAAGGTCTATATTGCAGCAGCTGCTTTTTCCCTCAAAAGTCAGCCAGAACTCTCCCCACCAAGCATCCAATTTCTTTCCAAAGATAAACTTAGCAAGGACCCTCTCCTCCCCCTTTACAACATTCCTGCAGCATACAGGAGAAAGAAATGATTCAATGTACCAAGCACAAAGTGCATTTAAAAACATATGATCAGTGTAAGATTTATGAGAGAAAGGGAGTTCCAATCCGAGGGCACGAAAACTTCTAAACACACACACACACACACACACACACACACACACACACTTCATGCACCTAGCTTGTTCGCAGTAGCACCAAAAGCCCCCTACCACTAGCTGCATGCACTCTTCTAAGGCTGCAATCCTGTGCAGACTGATTCAGGAATAACTTGCAACCAAACGTGCAAAGATAAGACCGCCAAAGGAAGGCCTGATGATCGCAGCTTCAGCTTCCAAGGAGTCCCCACCCTGCCACGTGCCACCCACCAGAAATCCATCAAGAGCGCTTCCTCCCCCCCCCCCATTACATATAAAGAGCCACCCCACCACAGCGCAGCGCAACCTTAAAAAAAACCACCCACCCTCTCCAGGGCCCTATAATGGGCGAGGCACCTTTAAGGACAGCCTGCCCCCTTCCCTCCGAAAAAGGAAACCAGGGAAAAGACCACGGCAGAAGAAAAGACAAGACTCTTCACCTTGGCACCCAAGAGGCGCGCAGCCGCCCTGCTGCTGGCCGTCAACAAGGTCATGGCGAGCGGCGGCGGAACCTGACGCGGCGGCGGCGGCGAAGGGGAAACCGGCGGCCGCCTCAGAAAAGGGGGAAGTCCGGGGAGGGGGGAAGCAGGCGGTGAAGACCAAGGTTGAAGAGAGGAGGAGGAGACAGCGGCCGACGGGGGAGCAGGCAATGCCGGGCTGGGTCCTCGCAACGCGACCGCGTCGGCAACGCGGGGCGGAGCCAACTCGCCAAAGACCCAACTTCTTCGTGTAACTACCGTACTCCGTTCTAGCTGAATAGCCACGCCTCCTTCCTGGTCGCCTTAAGAGCGACGCCATTGGACGAGATGGCGCGATGGGCGCGGCTTGCCTCGCGCGCGAGAGGAGCAGGGCCGGGCAGGGCGTGGGCCCGGGAGGGTTAGGTGGCCTCATCAGGCGCCTGATGGCTCTTCCCGGTCAGAAACGGCTTTATTCTTGCAGCCTGGCGTGGTATTCATTGCTGGGTGACAGTCCGTTGGGTTGCCAACTTTGTCTTAGGTTTTTGCCACGTTTTCCTGCGTGCCAGGAAAGGCTTCGCTTTTCAATGTTTCGCTGCCAGGTTGCTATAAGGAGCCATTAAAAAAAGTTGACAGCAACACTTATATCTATACCTACGTTCTCCCTGTATCCTTTTGGTCTCGGTTTTAACTGTCCATATGAAACTAGAGATTACCGGTCTGGAGACCCAAACACTAGAGAAATACAGCGGCAGTGGCTTACTCTTAAGATAGTGAAAGGTCACGGTGACACTGACGCTGCTCGCGCCCTTACACGTCAAACTGTCTGGGTTGTGAGTTACCTCCGCACGCTGTCAAACACCAGATAGCCGGAGGCCTTGCTAGGGATGGTAGAGCGACCCTTCCAGCTCCTTTTTACGCCGCGGCAAAGCACACTGAATTGCATGGGACAGCCTTCAAGGCTTCCCCAGTCGTCATGCCCAATTGACAGAATTTTAGGAGAGTTTCAAGCATTGTCTTCAACTCAACAGCCGTGCGCTTTCCCACTGCTTTTCCTCTTACCACGTAGGGCACTTCCAGTCAGAGGGCTCCAAGTACTACTAAAGAGGACGCTTCATACAGTTATTCTGCCTCCTTCTTAATTAACTTTCCGGAAGTGGTAGTGGGAAATCACAGGAGATGAACAAGCTGCAGATTGTGACATCTAGACACCCGCTGTCTTCACATTCCATGGAGAAAGCAGGGCAATTGCACAATAAATGCCTGTGCCAGAAAAATCAGTTAAGCAAGATAGAATTGCTTTAGGTGTCCTTCTCATTGGTGGTCCTAAGAGCCATCCATCTGGAAGCACCCTAGATCCTAAGTAAAAATGCATTGAACTACCTTAATTATCTGTCTTAACAGGCCACTGAATCACTATGGTTGTTATGCTGACACATGTTATATGGAAAAGTCACTACTCAATTCCTGAAGCAAAAAAACATTTTTCAGGTGCGTGTTACTTCACTGTCTTGGCACCTCCTTGCAGCACAGTGAATTTTTCAGGTGCCCTTTCAATCCATTTCTCACAGTAATTTGGCCTATCACATGAAACCTATTCTAGCCCAGCATAGTGATGTCTCAGCATATTAGTGTACTATAACAGTGGAAAAAAGGATTTGGAGATCATTTATTCAGTTCATAGGAATATGGTAATGGTCCGATCCTCCCATTGCATGACAAAATATTTACATCTAGTAAAATACCTCATCCTTTTGCTTTTTTTCTATAATGCCAAAAGTCGTCATTGCAATTTCTCAGCTGCAGCAGGGCAGCCCTACTGCTGTGCAGTAGGGAGGTGATTGCCTGAACCCAACATAGTGATGCTGAGAGGCAGAGAGTAACAGCAAGCTGTGGAAGGACAAAGCTGTGTGCATTACGGAGCCTGCAGTTCTGAGGTGTCAGCTTTGAAGCAGCTTTGTCCATTTTGCTCAACTTCTCTAGGCAGATGGGAAGAAGAGAGGTCATCTTGTCCTTTGCTTCAGGCAGCAAAATGCCTTGAGCCTACCCTTTTAAACTACTTCCTTTGAAATGGGATTAGGCTTTACAAAGGCATACTTTCAAGTTCCCCTCATCAAGGAACAAGCATGTTTCTTTAGCACAACAGCATGAGGACATGACTGAGTGCTGTACTAGTATTGACATAACGTTGGATTATACCACTTGGCAGAACTGAAATATGCCTCAGAGGGATGGTAAATTTTACAGAACAAATATCTTGCCAACATCATACCAGTGGACTCTGTCCAGACTCCTTGCTCTGGTACCTCATGTTCAACCCTCCCTCCATGGGCTACCATGCCCCTTACTCATGTCCTGCTGTCTACCTCAGCCTTGATGCCCCCTCATGCAGTTTGTGACTATCAGAGAGCAGCAATGTCAACCTGAACCAGAATGAAATGGCCACCCTAGCATTTTCTTTCCAAAATACAGGAGAGGCTTTTTCTATCACTTCACCTAAAGCCTTCAGTCTTTCAGATACTTTCAGATACCTATTTTTCTGTGTGGAAGAGGTGTCCTCAATTTCCAGTTTTGTAAGTTTCCTTCAGCCAAGAAGGGAGGTGAGGCATTCCAACTCAGCTTCTAACTTAAATCTAAAAATTGCTTAGTAATTCAAATATATTAAGTGGCATAAAAGTATTATAAATCAGTATTTAAAAATAAAGAGCCGCAATGGAAAATAACTTTGTTTCAAGAGTTGTTTTGCTTCCACTACGTTATTCATAAATGCAATGCATACAAATATCACACACAGAGTGAAAGGTGAATTCCTAATGCTGGAGCCTTTTCCTTACAGAAGCTTAACAAATGGAAAGTCTCAAAGTGCTTTGGTACCTTTTGTTTTCCTGCTGCAACAACCTAAGTAATAGGATGGCTCTGGTTCAACTGGATTGTTTTTGGTTTTTCTTGTTCTAGCAATGAGAAATATGATCATTTGAACTAATCATGTCCACACATATGCATCTACTAAGATAAATACAAAACAGTAGACATATTAATCTCTTGCAGCAAAAAAGCATCCTATCAACATATGAAGATACGAAGTGCACTCCAACCCCCCGAAGCTTTAAAGTGACACAGAACAATTGTTTTCTGAATAATTCAAACAGCAAGTGAAATGGTCTTGCTTAGAAAATGGACCACAATGCATATTTGGAAAGAAGGAAAAGGATACTGTATTGTGAGAGCATTTGAAAAGGAGGCATAGTGACACAGCTGGAAACGAGGGCCAAGAAGAAATCTGAAGAAAATAGCCAATTATAGAAGTTGAGATAAATCAGGGATTGGAGAGATCATATATCCAAGGTGCTTGTTTCAATAAACTGCTTTTGAAAACTCTTTGGAAATTTCCATTGGTTCAGAATGCAGGCCAGGCTATTGTCTGGTGTTAGATGTTCTGTTCGCATCCCTTCATCTGTGTTGCCACCACTCTGCTTGCCAGTCCATTCAGATGCAGTCTTTGCATTTAAGGCTCTTAACAGCTGAGCATCAGGGCATCTTTAGGGCCACTTCTTTTCATCTGAACCTACTTCGGTGCTACTATTTGTGCCCCCCCATGTCTGCAGTACTTAAGTTACAGGATACTTTCCTCCATGAGATCTGCTTCACGACTTACCTTTCAGGGAGTGATGAAAACCTGGCTTTTAAAGAAAGCTTTTCTGACTGAATTAACTGATTATTGGTCTATTTTGAATCTGTCCCTATACTTTTAAAACTTTCAAATTTTACTTCTTAAAATTTTGCCATTGTGAGCTGTTTTAAGTACTTTTCTACCTTGATAGGCAACTGTTTAAATAAATAAAATAATGGCAATGGTAGTGACTCCCCACCTCAATAAGGATGAAGAGAAAAAAGAGAGAGAAAAGGTTTTTCTTCTTGTTCCATATGAAGAATTTTCTTCTTAATGCTTACCTCTTCAATATGTTGCATTGTCCAATAGTAGTTTAAGTCCTACAGTTCAGCCAATGTGATTTTCAGCAATATTGTCCACAAAAGAAATAAAGAGGGTCATTCTTATCAAACTAGAGCTTGCAATGATGTGCTCATATCTACTGTAAAAATAAGACAGAACTGTATAATTGTTACAACTCTTAAAGAGCCTAGTCTGGACAAAGGGCAAGAGATGTATTCCAATCATCGCAGAGCACTCTTAACATGCAACTGAACAATGCACCTGTGTGATGTGAGGATGTTTAAGAGCCAAATTCTGGAGAACCAATTTACCCTTCTGATTGCAGGGCTGCACTTCTGCAAATAGCAGCAACTACCAAGTCTGAAGGCAATATTTGCTCAAATTTTACAGTTTCCATAGAATTATTAGGAATGCCCAGAGGAAGGGGGAAAAAACTCTTACTCAGTGTTTCATACCAACTGGATGGATGGTTGCTGGTGTATATACTGAATGTAGACTTGTATAGGCTTATATTCAGCATTTTTACATTATCAGGACATGTATGCCACCACACACAAGTGAAAAAAACAAACTATACAGAGAACTCCTGCATCAATCACAGCATGATTTATTTCCTCACCATCACTGGTAGATCTGTGACCCAGAGTCATAAAAAACAGGTGATAAAAAGGTATCAAAAATTTTTAAAGCCCTTTGAAAGAGTTCAACACTTCCCTCATTTATCAAATGCCTGATACTCCAAATCAGCACAAGTGGATTACACAAGCAAGTTTATACACTGATGTCGAAGCTGACAAAAGAGCGTCTCAATTGTAACACAGAGGTTTGCTTGCTACTTGACGTAGGTTTGGAGTTTCCACAACACTGCCAACAGTTCCATGGGGGCAATGTTCAAAGTGGTAACCCAAACCACATGTTACACCATCAGTGACCATTTTGTGTGGCTTCTGCAGGGCCAGCACCACATACCGAGCAACCGTCATTTGTGCTTGTGCTGTTCCTCCTTGCAGTGGTTTCCTTTATGGGCTAATTATAAGAGCATCTGTGACAGACTCTTCCCCTCTTCCTGTTCAAAGGGTTACCCAGATAAATTAAATGACTGAAGTTGTGAGAGTTACATAATATGGTGGTAGCAGAACCACAAATTAAATAACCTGCCCAGCATTACAACAAGAGCTACATTTGGGACTCATAAAACCCTGCTGCTTGGGTTCCACTGAACATTAGAACTGAATCCAGGAACTGTGCTGCTCATCCCCTCATTCAGTCTCCAGATCACTGTGCCTGCATACAGCACAAAGTATTAAAAAAACAAAAGACACAGTGGCTATGCAGTGGAAAGCATGGCTTTTGAGCCTGAAATGGACATCTTTCTGCTCCCTTTAAAAATAACAACAACAGTAACAAAGGTTTGATAATAATGGATGTAAAGAGAGTCAGATGAGGGACACAGCACCTTGTGTTTGCTTAGTAAAAATCTCCAAAGAAACTTTGCTAGTGTTTTCTTCCAGAGGTGCATCTTTGGTTTCCAGATTGTACAGAATTATTCCCAAGATTGAAAGACGATTGCTGGGACAATGACGAGAGCTGTAAGAACGGAGGTAATCTAGAAAGGACTAGCCAACACATCCACCAGGCTAGTCAGATCTTTGCATTTCATAGTTCATCATGTGTCAGGTGCAAGGCATGGTCACACAGATCTAAAAGAGAAGCATAAAGCATTTTACTTTATTACAAGAACTGGAACTTCCAGCTAGATTACAGGGCTGCTTCAGTCTTAACAGTATTTTATCATAGCAGTTCTAAAAGGTGATATAATAATCACATAACTGTTGGAAGAAAACCCATTACTTTAAGGATCCCCAGGATTATTTTCACTGTTTCTTTACATGTAACTTTAGAATTTACTTCAATATTTAATGACAAGTGGACAAATTTGATAACCACACTCTAACCAGAAGGTGTCACCCCAGGGCAATGCTTCAATAAAGGCAAGTTTTTCAGCACCCTAGTCTATTTCTTTTTACCAATGCCACCTGAATGTTCATGCCTTCCTTCCCTCTTCCCATCCCAAGTCCTGCTAAATAAAAAGACACGCCTTAAAAACATACTTGAACATATTTGAACATCTGGAATTTGTATTATATTACCATTGCAACAGAACTGGCAAAAAAATTAAAGACTCCCTACTCCAATTAACCCTTTGTTCTCTAATCCTACACCTGCACAACTTGTGACCCACTAATGGTTAGAGTTCAAATGCTGCCTGCCAGCCCTATTGGGGCCTGCAAGTTGTTCCCCCTTGCACCTTTGAAGAACCAGACAGACAATAAAAATTAGTTTTGAATGTGTAAGTAGCCCACAGATATGGCTAGAAAGGACTTTGTTAGGCATGCACTGTGGTGAACTCTCCCTCACTTGAAACATCTTGGACAGCTTGGCTCTTTTTCTGAAAGCCTGATTCAGCTAAGGGACTTTTCAGTACAAACAGGATTGCTGCTTGGTTCTTTCATTGTCTCTTTCATGTAGAAAATTGAACCCATGATGACTCAGTGATTGCTTTCCAGACGTAGGATTATGCAGGGTTAACTAATCTTTCTAATCAGCATGGACATCAGGAGACTAGCCAAGGCCTCTGGCAAACTAACTAAAAGATCAGGTGAACATGCAATTGATTTGCCTGCCAGGCAGTTATTAAGACCACTCCTAGAAGCCAACAGCAGCTCCCAGCCTCAGCTTGTTAATCTGTGTCAGTATTAGACAGTTATTAAGAATTGCCTTTGTCCAGACTCCCTTGTTTCAGTCAGCTTTTCGCCCAAAAGCAGGAGGATTTATGAGTTAATTCCTTCTCTGGGTAATACAGAAAAGTTATTATGAAACAGAAACAACGGCCACTGGGAAGCACCACAGAATGTTCTGATGGTCAGGAGTAGGTGTCACATTTTGGCTCTACGCCCATGGCATCCCTCCAGTCCTCAAACACTACAGGGCAAAGGTTACACGGAAACAAGTACAGTCGGGTTCGTAGTCCAAAAATAGCTCAGGAAGCCTAGTTTCCTAAATGGTGCCCTGGCAACTGGCCGCTTGCCACTCCTTTCATAGCCAATGAAAATCCAGTGAGGGAGAGGAGAAGGAGAAGACGACGACGACGACAAAGAAGGATAAGCAGAGGACAAAGAAGGAAGACTTTTTATTGGTCTGTCCTATTGCCTCAAATAACTTTCCTGAAATAGTCAAGAAATTAAAAAGGAAAAAAAATGTGAGGTAGTTATAAAAGACAAAAAACAGCTCTCGGCATCTCTCTACATGCAGATAATTCAGGTTTCCGGGGCACTCTGTCGACAATTAAGATTGCTTAGCCTGATCCCAAGAGGCAGTTATCCCTGTGGCAGAATACAGGAATAATTCTGCCAGAACATTGGCATGCTTGCCTGATTAATATATTTCTACAATGCCCTTCAGCTAAACAATTTCATGTAATTGCACTGTACATACAGACTTGGCTTGCATGATCACTGAGGTTTAAACAAGCCACCATAACTAGTTTAATTTCTGAGGTTGCAGAGTATGTTTTCCATAATCACCCATCTGGGTGTAATTTGTCTCATCTGAACCCAGGCAGCATAGCTTATTGAAGGGGGAACCACCATCATACAATCCAAGAACAGGCAATGGGTTATTTGAGGGTTATTTCTGCTTCCAACAAGTCATGTAGCCATGTTTAGATGCCAGGAGAAGTTGCTTGCAAGAAGGTAACTAGGAAAGTTGTACCACACACACATGCTGCCACACACCAAGAATTAAACAAGCCATCATGGCTTGTTTAACCCTCAGTGATCATGTGAACCAGCCCAACAACTCAATTCAGGTATTGTATCAAATCACTAAAGATAAACTGTACTTTGGTGTGAGGCCTAATTTGACAAACCATGGTTTATGACTGCACAAACCAGAAACATAAATCATAGTGTGAAACAGGTATGCAAATTATGGGTTTGTGCTGAACGGAGAAACCTTCCTTGACAGCTGCAGTGCCACCCTCACAGGATGATGCTTTTTAAAGATGGAATGGAAAAGATGGAAAACAAAAGCAGAGAAGGCATTCTAGACCATGGGATGCATGTTCTATGTATTTGTATCCTGTCCTTTCTCCAAGGAGCTCAGGGTTCTTTTTCCTCTTTTATGCTCACAACTGCCCTGTGAGGTAGGACAGGCAGACAAGTAATGTTTGACCAAAGGTTGCTAGATTCATGGCTAGATGAGAATTTGAGCCTGTGTTTTCCCACTCTTGAGTTTGTTGCCCTTGCCAGTACACCACACCAACTGCCAAGCTGTAAGAAGCTTGAAATTATGTCTTGAATTGCAAAGTATGATTAGCAGAAACAATTCTTTGCTGCGATGTCTGAATATAGTCATAGAATCAAAACTACAAGGTAAGTGAGAAGCACCTACTTACTGTGAGGAACCACTTGAGGAAACCATCAGGAGCTGCAGGTTTGGGGTGTGTGTGGCCAAAGGCAACGGTAGACAGGCAGGACCAGAGCCAAAAATGGGTAGAACAGCTCACTTTACTCTCTTCTCTTTCTGCAATGCCCTTTACTTTCCCTCTTCTCTGCTTTTATCCCTGCTCAGCAGGTTGCCTGGGAAGGGAGAGGCCCTTCTTGCCAGAGGTCTGAACTGATCACTTTCAAGTTAGGCCAGGCACTGTGTGTGGATGCTGGGCCTCAGGTTGTTCACTTTTGCTAAACAACAGGAAAGAACTCAACCCTAACAGGATATCGTTTGCTGACAGACCGTGTTCACTCCTCTTGTTCACTCCTTCATTCATTTCTTGTGGTAAAGGATCCTATGCAAGTCATGTTTCCTCTAAGATTGACTTAAGATTTCTTTCTTTGGGTGACAATTACACAAGTTTTAATTAAATAAGGGTGTAATCCTATGCATGTTTAGACAGAAAACCTCATATAACTCTCAGCACCTCCCAGCCAGCTATGCTGGGAGCTGCGGGACATCCTTCTGTCTAAGCATGCATAAGAATGCACCCAAGATCTACATAAGTGTGTGTTAGAATAAAACAAGAATTGTGAAGAACAATTTTGCTTAAGGGGCACACACTGCATCATGGCAGAAGAGAATTCCTCTCTTTATTAGAAAGAAAATGGCACCAGCCACCCGTGATTTGTTTTGCTAGTATTGATAGCAAATAGCACTAACAATGTTGAAAGCATTTATTGTCCAATTAATTGTGTGTGTTTTTAATTGATCAGAAGGCTTTTAACCTAAAAATTACACATTACAGACAGTGTTATTATCATATAAACCACACAGATAGTCCAATGAAGCTATTATGGATCCTACTCACTATTAGCATCAACTGAGTTCTTACCTGTTCGTTTGCTGCACAGCCGGTCCTTGACATTTTCTGCCTCGTGGGAAAAGAATTCTATAAGCTCATCTTCATACTCCTCAGCTATACTCTCACACTGCACAGGAGAACCAAGGAAGTCAGCCATGCTGCTTTTTCCATGTCTTTGTTTCCCATCCCACAGGGATCCAAGCCAAGCCCAAACCCCATCATGCCAGGCCAGCCCAACACTGCTATCATAATTGTCATCTTCTGGAAAGGAGTGCCAGGGAGAATATTCACAGCTCTTATGGGGTCAGTCTGAGTAGGGATGCTAGACCTCTTCATCAGCCATTATCATGTTGTTTTTGCCTCTCTTTGTCTTTGGATGCAGTGCGATCTGTATTATGTGGATGCAAAACATATATGCCCCGATGATCTTCCCTTACTAACCAGAACTATCTTATATTTATTATAGTTATATCCCACTTTTTCCTGTCAGGAAACCAAGGAGGTTTACAACACATGAACCCTACATATGAAAAACAAAGGTGCTGAGAAAGGAAAAGAGGGAATCATTAACTGAGGAGAGAACCACCACCACCACTTGTATTTGGTCTCATAATTCCTACACTATTTCCAATATTTGTTTCTTAGTTTATCTATGTATGCGTATGTTTTGTTAGATTTATATCCTACCTTTTTATTTTTTTAAAGAACTCTAAGGGGCTTACATCATTCTCCTCCTGATACTCACAATCTTATCCCCACAAACAACAACCCTGTGAGGTAGCCTGGGCTGAGAGTCTGTGACTGGCCGAAAGTCACCCAGTGGGCTCCATGGCAACAGCCTGAGTATTATTCTTAAAACTCAAAAAAGACGTTAACTCAACACACATTCTTATAAACTGCTTGAAAAGTATTAGGCAGATTTTGTTTAGAGACTATAGCTCACTGTGGAGGAAAATGATGCAGAGATGGGGATCCTCCCAGCCATGGGTTGTTTCCAGGGGTGTTCCCCAACTGCCCAGCTAGTTATTTGGCTGTTGTTTGTAATATAGCTTTCACACCATGGAGCTGGTTGTGGTTGTAATTATAACACTGCAACTACAGTGCCAGCTGCTTTTCACCTCAAACCCAACACAAGTAATATGTTTGGAGTCCAGAAGAAAGGAAAGATAGACTGCAGCCTGGAGGATTCAACAGAGATCCTTTCCTCCAGCAGACAACTTCCAACTACACACTTGACATTACTCACCGCAAACTTAAGGCTTGACGTCACATCGCCATCAATTTTGGTTTCAGAAAGGTCCATCTTGGTCCCATCATGGGAGATCACCCTGACATAGTTTTTCCGGTGTGTGGTGGCATCCACTTTCTCACCGTAATCACTCATGTTCTCACAGATGCGCTCCAACAGTTCTGTCAGGTGAGCCTCAGACCTGGCGTAGGGCACCTACAGGAGAATGAATGCTGCTTGTCAGGCAGATGCAAAAAGCCTCCTGATCATCTTTGCCATTAACTGAAACACTGACTCCCCTCTGGCATCATCCATTGGAGGTCAATCATTTTGCCAATGTACAAAATTGATTTGTGTGTTCTCTCTCTCTCTCTCTCTCTCTCTCTCTCTCTCTCTCTCTCTCTCTCTCTCTCTC